TCAAACTTGGGCTCTGTTACCATGGAGATCTAACCAGGCTCAAACTCGGGCTCTGTTACCATGGTGATCTAACCAGGCTCTATGACTGATGTCACAGTTGATAAGTTTATTAATAACTAATACAGAGTAGTCCCTCGCTACTTCACGATTTGCTTTTTGTGGATTCACTATCACGTTTTTTTAAAGTAAGATTGGACAGGACAATTGGTTGATTGACGGATGAGCCATGGATTGTTTATTTAAAATAAATGATTTTAAATGATTTTGCACCATGTGTGCAGCCCACAAGTGCAGGGGGAAGCTCCCTCCTGCAGCTGATCTCCTCCTCTGCATGCACACATTTCTCCTCTGTGCTGCATCAGCTTGGTGAAGGGTTAACCCTTTGCTGTCCAGATGCACCGATCGACTTTTGTCTTCAAACGTAAAACTCATTAAAGTATGTCACATCGTAAAATCGTCTTAATCACAAAATATAAACGTGTTAAAAGTTATTTTTAATTATTTTAGAACTTATTTGTTCAGTTGTTTCAGTGTAATTGATCAAGGACATTTCTGCTCCGTGCTGCAGAGCTGAAGCTGTGTGACAACCTTTGATGTCCTGCTGCACTTCTCTTCTCTACAATTTAAATTCTGTAACATTTTAAACAAACAATCCATGCCGTATGGATTGTTTGTTTAAAATGTTACAGTATTTAATTTTAAATTATTTAAGGAGGGAGATTGGAACAGGTGATGAGTGTGATTGCAGCCTGGCACATGTCATGACAAAGTTTACTGAACTTGAACTCAACTTGAACTTGGATTACTGAATCCCTACTTAGCAGTTTTTCACTTATCGCAGGTGGGCGTGGTTCTTAACACCCGTGATAAATGAGGGACTACTGTACAGACGGATTAAGACAGAACATTACTTTAAATGGCCAAACTACCACTTTAAATACTTATTTTACTTTATATCCAGTACTTTTTACCTTTTTCTTCTCTGTGTTTTGCTCGTCTTGTTCCACTGTGTCCTCATCTTCTCTCTTTCTCTTCATTCCCTTCTCCTCCTTTCCATCACCCTCCTCCCCGTCTTCTTTTCCTTCCTCCTCTCCTGTTTCTTTCTCAGTTCCTTGTTGATCTGCTTCCTTTAGGTTTCCTTGATCTGCGTCGGTCTGCTCCGGCTCTTGAACCTCCTCACCAGCCGAGGTTTCCTCAGCTTCACCTGCAGAGTCTTTTCTTTCTCCAGTTGCTGGCTCTTCCTCCTGATGAGTGGATGGCGGCTCATTTCTCCCGCTGCCTTCTTCATTTTCAGCTACAGACTCCTGTTGTGTCGAATAAAGATTTATATTTTAATCAACTTCCTTTAACAACGGTTTTGTTTCAAACTATGATGAATGAGAAAAAAACAGACCTATCATGAAGCCGATCAGAAGATATGGCTGGGACGAGAGAAAAGAGGAGACTACCATACTATCTCATCCTTTTGACAGGCGTATAAAAGGAGAAATAAATAAAAGAACAAAGCAAACTGGCCAAGGCCTAACATTGTGCCTTTCACTCCAGCGTGTTAAACTGAGCTCATGTTGTGATGAGGAATGATAGTTGTAGCCGTTTCGGTCAAACCTCGAAAATAGCGTTACAGTATTTGAGCGGTCATGTAACTCTTAATGTGGTGTGAATGATGCTCAGATACTACCGCGTCAAGTTTTACCTCAACGTCTGTAAAACTGACTGAATTCTCCTCCTTTTTGTTGTCCAAACGCTGTGGCAGCCATCTTGAATTGGGTTGAGTCCAATAGTTAATCAGTTGGGGTGCACCGATTGCAGTTTTCTGTCTGATCGCTGATTTCTAAAGTCTGACCTGCTGATTCCGATTTTGGCCGATACCAATTTTGTTTTAAAATAGACACTGTCAGGTGTTATAAGGTCACAATGCACCTTCAATTTTCCAATCTTATTTTACTGAAAAACATACCTTGAACAATATCCTAGAAACAAAACAAACCTGTTTTAACTGGCCATGAGGTAGTGCTCTGAAATATAAATGAAGTTTAGATAATTGTTGTAAAACTATAAAAAAAAATAAAAAAAAAAAATTGGCAAAATCAGTTTCTCATGTACCGTATTTTCCTCTGTACACGTCACACTGTCCTATAAGTGGCATCAGTCCATATTTGTCTAATAAAGTGGAAAAATCCATAAATACGTAACTTCGCCATATACGTTGCATTTATTACGCGTCACCGCTGACAACCTGGAAATGTGGACCAGTGTTGTGCCAAAAATCGATTGGCTGCCAAATGGTGGCCGCGGGAACGTGCATGGGAGGACTTTAACAAGAACTTAACAAGATTAACACCTAAACAATTATTTGTTTGCTTGAAATTATAGTCAAGGTGTGTCTCAGTGTAACTTTCCTTAATAAATACACTGACCGTCAAATTAGCTGCATTTCAAAACCTGATTCACAGAAGCGGGAGTGGGCAGAGGGACGAGCCTCTGTGCATTTCTTTGAAATTTAACAAGATAACTACCTAAAAATATTTATTTGTTTGTTCAACTTTATAGTAAAGGTGTGTCTCAGTTGAACTTTTACTTAATAAATGCACTTTAATGGTCAAATCAGCTGCATTTTGTAGGGGCAGCACAGAGAAATGTAGCTGATTCGGTTGCTCCAGGCAGACGACGGTGGTAGGCTATGGCAAGCCAAATGTGTCATTAATTACCAGATTTACCTATTACATGACACAACTGCATACCTTACGACTCGAGTGCCATCTAGTGACTGAAAATGATAGTGTTCAATATTTTCAGTCAGAATGAATGAGAACGATCATATCTCAGCCCAAAATTGGTTTATAAATATGGGAGAAATCCATAAATATGTCACTTCGGTGTATAAGTCGCAGGGCATGTAAATTATGAAAAAAAAATGCTTATACAGCGAAAAATACGGTAAGTATCGGCCGATCTCCCAAAATTAAGGAAATCGGGCCCATTTATTGGTGCACCCCAGTTGTAGATGTTCATCCAATGATTAACTTTCTCATCATAAAATGAATGGTGGTGGGCCTGTTTCTTTACAGAACCATCTCTAGAACCAGTTGAGAACCAACAGCATTTACTGGGAAGAAGCTTGACGTGGTCAAAGTGCACCTTTTTATCTAGTTTTACAAATGGGAGTGAAGTTTGCCACCTACCTGCTGACTCTGATTGGCTGTGTGCTTCTCCGAGGCAGGCGTCACCTCGTTCCCCTTGGCATCTTGCTCCCACAAGCTCGCCTCCTCCTGAAGGCCTCCTCTTTCACCTCCACCCTCTTCAGCAGTCTCCAGCCTTTCTTCCAGGGCCCCACCAGTGACACACAAGATCTGTGGCATGGTGGGATCATCCATCTGTTCGCTCTCCTCCTCCCTCTCTGCTTCTCTTGCTTCTTCCAGAACTCCGATGCTCTCCACCTCCTGTATCTTCATCCTGTCTTCTCTGAACAGTGTTCTGCTGGTCTGTAGCTCTTCTATCCCTCCTTCTGCTTCTCCCTCCACGTTATATGCCTCCACCTCCCCTTCCTCCATCGCTGCCTGAAGCACTTTATCATCCTCCATGCCCACCTCCTCAGACTTGTCCTCCGATCCTTCCAGCGGTGGTATATCCCCATCTTCGTCTTCCTCCTCCTCCTCTTCTTCTTCTTCAAGCTCCTCACCCTCCTCTTCAAACTCCTCGAACTCCTCCCCATCATAAAATTCACTCCCTTCTTCCTCTTCATCTTCCTCATCCATCCCATCCTCCTCTTCCTCAAGGTCTTCATCATCTTCCATGTCCTCATCATCTTCCTCTTCTTCATCGTCAGTACTGTTGATGTTGATGACAGCTGACTCTTCGTTGTTGGCAGGTGTGGGTGGGTGTTGGTGAAGGTGGCGACCCTGCTGGGTCAGCTGGTTCTGCAGCTGGTGCATCTGGAGAGGCAGACTGGCGGTACTGGGCTGATGTGCTGCAGAAGGCTGCATCAGCATCTGCTGGAGTTGAGGCTTTCCAGCCCCCGTCTCCCCTTGTCCACCACCGCCGGGCGAGGCCGAGAACGAGCTCGAGTTTAGCGATGGAACCAGTGAGACCACTGAGGCGCTGGAAGGAGGGAGGGAGTTGATGGGAGCAATGGAAGAAGTGGCCAAGTCATTGGGCAAAGAGGCTACATCTACTGTGGTTGGTGCTGCTGTGGTGGGAGCCATGGTGACGGAGTCTCCTCCCGGTAACGAGACCCCGGTGCTGCCTGGTGCAGAGGAGAACACGTTCTGCGAGTTTGTTGCCGAGTCATTCTGCTGATTGTCAGCGTTGAGCATCCCTGGAGGAACAATGACCACGCTGTCATCCGAGTCACTTGCAAGAGATATCTCCACGTCTTCCGCTTCCTCTTTGTCATAGCGGACAAACACAGAGCGCTGCCCTTCTGTGGGGGCAACAGGATCCTGATGGTGTGTCTGTGGAGACAACATCAAGTCTCCTGGAGCTGGGGCCTGACCTGGCATCCCTGGAATCAGGGATAAATGGTTTTCCAAGGAGCCCAACAGGGAAGTGGAGCCCAGGTTGAGAGAATGACGGGTAGGGAATGGAGGACCGGGGGCAGGACCACCCAGTAAGGTTGGCAAAGTTAGTCTGGGGCCAGGCCCTTGACATGAAAGGACCGAAGATGTGGTGGTGGGTTTCAGGGTGAGGGGTGGTAAAGGGAGGGCAATGGAGGGACTGCGTGAATGGAGGATGGCGTTACAGATGGTAAGTGCTTCAGCACAGAAAGTAGAAACCTGAGTAGAAGAAAAGAAACAGATCATTAAAAACAAGCGGTACGGCGATGTCCCCTGTCAATGAAGGATTTGAACAGTGAATGTTTGTAGTTTTCAAGAGTAAGTGTTCTTTTGGACTGGAATTTAACAGAGAATGTTAGTAAACTTTAATGTTTTTGGTGTAAGATATTCAAGTGGGGAGGAGTTACGCTAAGGAGAACAAGTGTGTTTTTTCTTGTCTGAGGCAGCACAGAGTGACCGAGCCTGGCGAGTGGACGGAACGCTTTCAGCCACGCCCACTTCTCAGTTCTGCATGGAAATCAGCTTATCAGCAGCAGGAGGAAGCTTATCCTGCAGTGTGGGCAGCACACAGGTGCTACATAATTTAAAATAATTTATTTTAAATAAAAATTCCATGCCAATCATGCGGCTCATCCATCAGTCAGCCAATTGTGTGTCATGTCCAATCTTATTTTGAAAAACCACGATTGAGCGAGTCTGCGATAAATGAACCACAAAGTAGCAAGGGACTACTGTATTTAAAAAACAAAAAACAAACATTAATGTGATGACAATGGTGCTGGAGTGCTGATGGCTCAGTGGGGGAAAAACGGTCACTGGTGTTTGAAACAACCTTTACAAAACATGCATCACTTATAGGGACGGCACTTTTAGCAGCTAATGTGTTTAGGCTAATATAACAAGTGCATTTTGAGTTTCTCTTCTTTTATGAATATTATACAACATGACTTCATAGCCCATGAACGAATCCACACTTTACCCTGTTACAACCACAAACTTTTAAGCATTGATGCTGAAATTATTTTTGACAAACCAGCACAAAGTAGAGCATACTGGTAATTATGAACTGGAAGAAAAATGTATCATGCTTTTCAACAGAATAAAACTCAAAGTGTGGCATACATTTGTAATTGGCCCCCTTTCCTCAGACACCCCAAACTAAAATCCAGAGCACCCAACAGATCCACAGTTTAGGTGGGACCAGTTCTCTGCTGGACACCTGTTAAAGCCTGGTTATATTTCAAGATGTGAAACACTGGAGCTTGCTGGAATGATTTGGGACGGCCTTTTTCTCATGGACATTTCATACTCGTCAATGTTCCCCTCCGCTAAGGGATTTAAAAAGTGAATGTTTGTGATTTTAACGATTAGTGTTTTTCTGGACTGGAACTGAACAGGGAATACAACTAAACCTGAATGTTTTTGGTGTATGATATTCAAGTGGGGAGGAGTTATACTGTGGAGAAGAACAGAGGGATTTTTTAATTGTCCAAGTGATGGATCATGGAGCGTGGAGGGAGCAATTTTGTCCACCACCAGGTGCAGAGAAGTGGGGGGTGGCCAATGGTGGTCCTGGCCACTGTAGACTAATCTTCAGCCACCCCAATCATTTGAAGAAACTATACTTTTAATCGACATAAAAACTAGAAAACATAGTTTCCTCAAATGATAAGTGGTGGTCGGTTTAGTTTACATATACAGTATACCATATTTTCCGGCGTACACGTCGCTCCACACTATAAGTTGCATCAGTCCATATTTGTCTAATAAAGTGGAAAAATCCATAAATATGTCACTTCGCCGTATACGTTTCATCTATTATGCATCACCGCTGACGTGTCACGTTTGTTACGTGTCACCGCTGACAACCCGGAAATGTGAACCGGTGTTGTGCCAAAAACCGATGGGCTGCCAAATGGCGACCGCAGGAACATGCACGGGAGGACTTTAACAAGAATTTAACAAGATTAACACTTAAAAACAATTATTTGTTTGCTCAAAATTATAGCAAAGATGTGTCTCAGTCTAAAGTTTGCTTAATAAATGCACTTTAATGGTCAAATTAGCTGCATTTCGCCAGGGTGGTGCAACTGGTTTGACAGTTCCAAGCAGTGAGTAGAACCAAGGTGGGGAGACTGTGGCAAGCCGACTGAGTCATTAATAGCTGGTGAAGATTCTCAGTCATCCAGGACATGGTAAATTCAAAAAAGTTCAAGACAAAAAAAAAAAGTATAAAGTAAAAAATAATCGTCAAGTTGTTTTTGTCTTGAACTTTTTTTGAATTTGTCCTTATAGCCACGTTTACCTATTACATGATACAATAGCATGCCTTACTGCTACTACTCTGCTGCCATCAAGTGGCTGAAAGTGGTACTGCTAAAAAAAAAAATTCAGTCAGAATGAAAGAAAATGTTCATATTTCAGCCAAAAAATGGTTTATAAATATGGGAAAAAAAAAATCCATAAATGCATCGCTTCGGTCTTTAAGTCACAGGGCATGTAAATTATGCAAAAAAAAGTACGACTTATAGGTCGGAAAATACGGTAATAATACCAAAATGGGGACAAACTGTCTAAAGACAAGTGTGCTAAGCTTTTAGAAACATGTTCAAAATGGCTGGAGGCTGTAATCGCTGCCAGAGGTGGATCAACAAAATACTGAGCAAAGGCTGGCTGTGAATGATTTTAGTTTTCTATTTTTAATAAATTTCCAAAAAATAAAAATAAATAAATGAAAATCTTGCATCACGTTGTCATAATTAGAATTCTGAGGAAATAAATTAATTTAATACAGTCTGGGATAAGGCTGTAACATGACAAAATGTGGAAAAAGTGAAGCACTGTGAAAACTTTCTGGATGCACTGTATATGGTGGTGGCCATCTTAGATTTTGATGTAAAAAGACTGTACTTATATAGCGGCTTTCTATCTTATTTCAAGATACTCAGTGTTTTTACCTACAATCTGTGCCTCATTTACCCATTCATACAGCACTCTACTAGATCTCTACAAAACTAATTGAACAAATTATTCTAAAGAGACTAATCAGTGCTTTTAGATCACATTTATACACTGATGGGACACACATCGGAGGCAATGAGGGGTTCAGTGTCTTGCCCAGGGACACTTCAGCATATGATTGCTGGTGGATTTGAACCCCCAACTCTCACATTGGAGGACGACTACTCTAACCACTCAGCCACAGCCACCCCTATGTGGCAAACAAATACTTTATGGTGACTTTTCTTACTCTCACATGCAGCCACACACCAAAATAGAAGTTTGCAAGTTTCTTAGTTTTCAAGTTATCCAGCTCACAAGGCGAACGGACAGACATGTATGGTGGCAGCCATGTTGGATTTCGACATGAACCTTTCTTATGTCTAGATGTAGCCACACACCCAAGTGGAAGTCTGTACCTCACTTATTTTTAAAGTTATGCTCACAACATGCACAAGTGGACAGAGTGGAGGTATTTCCAGTTCCCCGCTCTTCACTCTGTGGGGGTGGGACAAAAAGAACCATGGGGAGAACTCTTGATGAGTCCTCCTACTGCAGCCCATGTCAATTCAATTCACTTCAGTTTAGTTATATAGCGCCAATTCACAACAAAATTGTCTCAAGGCACTTTAAAGGAACATTCACAAATTAATTTTCGCTGCATAAGTCAGCTTTTTTGCACAAATTTGCATGCCTGCGACTTATACACCGAAGCGACTAATATATGTCCCCCCCCCCATATTTATAAACCAATTTTGGCTGAGATCTGACGATTTCATTCATTCCGACAGGGAGAATACTGAACACTACCATTTTCAGCCACTGGGGGCCCTCGACTAATATGGCAAGCCAAGTGTCTCATTATTTTTAAGTGTTAATTTTGTTAAATTTCGAAGAAATGCACAGCGAGTCGTCCCTCTGCGCGTTCCCACAGCTGCAAATCGATTTTTGAAATGCAGCTGATTTAACCATCAAAGTGCATTTATTAAAGAAAAGTTAGATTGAGACACACCTTTGCTATCATTTTGAGAAAACAATTGTTTTTAAGTGTTAATCTTGTTAAATTATTGTTAAAGTCCTCCCGTGCACGCTCCCGAGGCCGCCATTTGGCAGCCAATTGATTTTTGGCACAACACTAGGGCTGTATACCGAACCTCGGTTTTTTGGTACCGACCGAACTGTGTCGGTCCGTTGTGGATTGAAACGTCACTCTTTTTTCGGTGTAAAGTTTCAGTATTGGCTGTAACGTGTCACGTGGTTTCAGCACGCCAGCAGGTAAAACACCAGACATATGACAAACAGACTACGTGTTCACACCCAGAGCTGTATAGAGCTGCCGTACAGCTTGTATGTCTATGGTGCTGGTGACGCCCACAGACGGGGTTCACGTGTGCAGCACGTGTTGTCGAACAGCTTCAATTTACGAGTGGAAAGTTGCTCTGTGTTTTTCTGCAAGGAGAGAGAAGGACAGCAGCCTCCCCTCCTCCTCCTCCTCTCAGCATTAAAGTCAGCCTGTGAGTGTTGAACGACCTGATTCATTATCTCCACGACCAGACTCGTCTTCATCAAAGAACTCCGAGGACGGAGCTGTGTCCGTTTCATCTGGTGAGTTTACGTTTGTTAACATTACTGCAGCTTAATACGTACATCGTGGTGAATTAAACTAGAATCCATGTAACGCTAACTTTAAGATATTAGTGTGTAAATTTATTTTATGTATGTAGCTAGCTAAACTCTGAAGCTAACTAAAGATTGACACTAACAGATGAAGCTTAGCTTGTAAAAATGTGCTCATCCATCGGATCAGCTGCTTAAACAGTTTGCCTAATGTTCACTGTTTGTTTATGTTCTCCTCACAGGAGCCTCTGACCCTGAGGAGGACAGACAAAAGAACAGCGAGGTGGTGGTGGGGGGGCACAGGACAGTCACAAACTTTGTTGTTAAAAGTTTGCTGCCTTTTTCTACAGTGGAGCTGCATGTTGGAGGCAAGTAAACTGTAAAGGATGTTGTTGACAGTTAAACTTTTATCTCTCAGCCTAGATAAAGTTTTTTGAGCATTAATAACACAACCATGTTATTGTTGATGTTTTGTTCTCATGTCAATTAGGGAGATGATCAGAGCCCTAAACCCCAGAGAACCACAGAGAAGATTCAGGAAGACACAGAGGTGCAGATGTCTGCATCATCCCCACCTCAGTGAATCCAGTGACCTGCTGGTG